TTGTAAGTCATCTCAGATTAGTTTGCAATTCGAAAATAAAACTTAAATATTTTACTTTTCCCAGACGACTTACTTGAAAGTCGTTTAGTTAGACGACTTACGAGAAGGTCGTCCGAGATATGCAAGGTTTGACCAGAATCTCAGAAAAAAATCTGGACGACTTTGCTTATCCTAGACGAATTTCAAGTAAGTCGTCTAACTGAAAGACTTTCAAGTAAGTTGTCTGACTGGACGACTTCCATGTAAGTCGTCTGGGAAAAGTTAAATATTTAAGTTTTATTTTCCAATTGCAAAACTAACCTAAGACGACTTACGGATAAGTCGTCTAGCTTTAATAAAATATTGAGATTTTTGTTTTCCAATAGATGACTTACTGGTAAGTCGTCCAGTAAAAGTCAAATAACTGACACAATTCGGTCAAATGCAAAATTAACCTGTTTATCCTAGACAACTTAGTGGTAAGTCGTCTTTATTCTCTAGATTTTTTTTAACAAACAAAGATAGACGACTTAGAAGTAAGTTGTCAGTTTGACCAGAAAACTTACCCGCAAGTCTTCTACAGCCAGGCGACTTACGGGTATGTCTTCTACGTGAACAGATCTGTTAAAAAATTCAGTTTCATACCTTAAACTAGTGAGATGACTTCCTTAACACACATAGTCTTCTCCAACCACTCAGAACCTCAAACGAAAATAACCCACTAAGAATAGTAAGCTTGAATGGTTCTATCAACCATAGAAATTTTGAATCAAAAGCTTGAGTTTTTTGGATGAGTATGAGGACAAAGTAAAAGAGATGTTGTTTTTAGTTCATAACAATTGAGAAAGAGAGAGTGTAAATCGATTTTAGGTGCATTAAGAGCTTCAAATTGGTTGTTCATGGTGGTTTCGGTATTGATGGCAATGTCAATCTTGTAAATACTTGAAGATGATGAGGTTGAGAGATTAAAAAAACATTTTCGAAAAAATCATAATAATTCAATGGCATTTTGTAAATAATATAAACATGTGAGGTGAATAAGATAAAATAAAAATAAATAAATAAAAAAGATTATTTTGTGTTTGACTTTGAGTTTTAGTCAAATTTGCAAAAAAAAAAAATTTTAGCTTTGTATTATAATTACAACAATTTATTTGTGAGAAATAAGGGATGTAAATTGATTGATATCTTAAATGGAAACGTTTTACACAACGTCCACTAAATGTGATTATTTTATTCTAAACATATATAGTAACATTAAGTACTAGATGATAAGTTGCGCACTGCGCGGTGTGAACGAATTAAAAAAAAAAACATTATCTAATATCTATAGATATTAGAAAGTCAAAAATAGAAAAAAAATATTAGATATAATGAAAAGTTTTACTATGATGTGCAGATTTATATAATGCAAGCTTATTGATTTTTTTTGTATGAATAAGTTTGTATAATTAAATAGGTGTATTATATGAAAAGAAACTGTAAAAATAAGCAAATATTTGTTTAAATGTATTATAAATTTGAGAAAAAACAAATCATAGGTAATATAATTATTTAATTAATAATAAAAGTTTGATAAAAATAATTATAGTTTTCGATGATGATGCTTTAGAAATGTTTAAGTTGTGATGGTGTGTTCTTAGATTAGTTTAAGAAGATATATATAGTACCTTGGGGGAAAGGGTTTAGGTAAAATAAAGAATTAATTGTGTTAAATAATTATGGCCTAAAATCATGCAAAAAAAATCACTAACTGAAATCAAGGTATTTAAAATTGGAATGAATACATATTACTTCTGAGTATTTACTGACAAATCATATCTATAATTTCTGAGTAATATGTTTTGCTTAACTAAAATAAATCAATGCTTGAATAAAATAAATCATTCATAATAAAGACTACATGATTCATTCGTCCCTTGTTTTAAAACACAAACTATAGTTACAGAGGCAATTGAAATCAATTACATTGAATGAGAAATAATTTTGTATTGATAATGATCAGGAATAACGAATATAAGGAAACAAATTAAATCTATAATATTACCCAATAAACCAATTAAGATAAACAACTAAGGATAGTCCAAAAAGTTAGGTTATGAAATTAATTGAACTTATATGTATGTTTAGCATTTGATATTTTATAACTAAATAAAATAGTTGAAATAAAGACCAAAATAACACTAAACCAAGTTTTTGTTCCCAAACTAGCACTCAAAATCAAAAGTCACAAAAATATGTTTCATTAAAGATATCATTTACCTTTATACCCTCTTTTGTGATTAAAAAAAAAATAAAGATTGGAAAAATATCGGAGACCATCTCCTTCTTTCTATTGGATCAAAATATAAAAGCCCATTGACTTTTATATCAAATGTGAAAAGAAATGGATGGGCTACACAAGCCCAAGAGAGCTAAAATGTCAACTTGACATTTTAATTATGTCCCACATCGGGGAGAAGGGGAAGAAATGAGCAATATATATATGCTCACACATCTAAGCTTAATAAACAGCTTGGAGAGAGTAAAGGTGCTCCACGCGCGCGCCGCCGCCGTCCGGCCGGCTCGGCTCGGCTCGGGCTCTGGCTCTGGCTCTGGCTCTATTGGAGGGGCATTCGCTCGATAAGAAGTTATCTTTTTGGATCAAATTAAGCTCAACGCTTTGCCATTTAAACTTCAAAAAACAGCATGCAATTTTATTTAAAACGACAAGTAGTTTGTCTAACAAATACAAAAACATCACGCTGTTTATTCCTCGCCAGATATTTTAATTAAAACCGAGAGAGCGAGTCTTGGGGGATAAGTTTTCGTAACTTAAAATTTCCGAGATCCTTGCCAAATCCCCACTAACGGGCACACGTTACGGGAAGTTGCTCCTCGTCTTCTCTTTAAATATTGTTTCTCCTCTTTCTTCATTCTTAACTTTTTCACGCAACAAAAAACCAGCAAATCTCCCAGAGTAAGTTTTTGAGAGTGTTCGTAGAATTTTAGTTCGTTAGGTCGTTTCACGAGTGAAGCGTGATTCGTCTGCCATGGTTGTATCCTGGGACTCGATATTCGTAAAGTTTCGTCTCACTACGGAGCGAATATTAAGAGTTAAGGAAAGAGATTTATCTCGCCTCCATGTCTTATATAATCGTTTATTTCCTTAACTCCGTCTTTCTTATATCGTTCATGTCGATCCGGTTTTCCGGCTTCTACAATCTTAACTCTTAATCGCTTTCTATCTAAAGCTTTAATCGGGTTGAAAAAAGCGATGTATAGAAACGGGTTCTGGAATCGTGTTTGCGATTTGCTCTATAGCACTTCCGCGAAACGTTTAACGTTTATTATCTGTATATTATATACGTGTTTGCGATTTGCTCTATAGCACTTCCGCGAAACGGTCTTCGAAACGCTGTTTGCGATTTGGTTTTTATCATTTCCGCGAAACGTTTCTTACTTATCTCAAAACGATTTGCGGTTTGCTTATAGCATCATCCGCGAAACGTTTTAGATACTTCTTTCTTTCAAAACGTTTATATATGAATCGTTTTCACAGANGATTTGCTCTATAGCACTTCCGCGAAACGGTCTTCGAAACGCTGTTTGCGATTTGGTTTTTATCATTTCCGCGAAACGTTTCTTACTTATCTCAAAACGATTTGCGGTTTGCTTATAGCATCATCCGCGAAACGTTTTAGATACTTCTTTCTTTCAAAACGTTTATATATGAATCGTTTTCACAGATGCTTTCTTAAGTGAATTTGTGAAATATTCTAAGTCTTCACTAAACGGTTTCTGCGAACGCTTATAGCGAGTTTGCAGAACGTTTTTCCAGACTTGTATCGATATGATTTGGTTCAAACACCAAAAATGAAAATCGATTCTAAACTATTATTTTATTTAAAATAATATGTTATATGTTGAATGGAGTACTGATCCGTTTTCAAATTTTCTTTACAGAAAAAATGACGAACGATGATAACACCCCCATTGATCTCGCCACTCAGACTCCACTCAATGTGACAGCACCTGTTGCAACCGGCGTGACGAACGCTGTATCAACCGATGCAACCCTTCCAGTGGGTGCTGTTCCTGATGAGACCACACGCCGTAGCCTGTTCGGTGCTGGTCTTTATCAAACAGATTGTAGAAGCCGAAAAACCGGATCGACATGAACGATATAAGAAAGACGGAGTTAAGGAAATAAACGATTATATAAGACATGGAGGCGAGATAAATCTCTTTCCTTAACTCTTAATATTCGCTCTGTAGTGAGACGAAACTGTACGAATATCGAGTCCCAGGATACAACCATGGCAGACAAATCACGCTTCACTCGTGAAACGACCTAACGAACTAAAATTCTACGAACACTCTCAAAAACTTACTCTGGGAGATTTACTGGTTTTTTGTTGCGTGAAAAAGTTAAGAATGAAGAAAGAGGAGAAACGATATTTAAAGAGAAGACGAGGAGCAACTTCCCGTAACGTGTGCCCGTTAGTGGGGATTTGGCAAGGATCTCGGAAATTTTAAGTTACGAAAACTTATCCCCCAAGACTCGCTCTCTCGGTTTTAATTAAAATATCTGGCGAGGAATAAACAGCGTGACGTTTTTGTATTTGTTAGACAAACTACTTGTCGTTTTAAATAAAATTGCATGCTGTTTTTTGAAGTTTAAATGGCAAAACGTTGAGCTTAATTTGGTCGAAAAAGATAACTTCTTATCAGGCCAAAAGCCCAAACCGAACCGGACTGCGGCGCGCGCGCGAAGCACCTTTACTCTCTCTAAACTGTTTATAAAGCTTAGATGTGTGAGCATATATATATTGCTCATTTCTTCCCCTTCTCCTCGATGTGGGACATAATTAAAATGTCAAGTTGACATTTTAGCTCTCTTGGGCTTGTGTAGCCCATCCATTTCTTTTCACATTTGATATAAAAGTCAATGGGCTTTTATATTTTGATCCAACACTTTCATCTCCCAACTCCTTTCTTTCTCTCTCGCTCATTTCTCGACGAGACTTTCGAAATCAAGCATGGATGAAGAGTACGGAGTTATTGTTCTCGGCACCGGTCTCAAGGAGTGTATCCTCAGTGGTCTCCTCTCCGTCGATGGTGTCAAGGTCTCTCGATTCGTCTCTGATTGGCTTTTGATCCCGTGATCTGATTAGTGTTGTTTTGTGGTGATATCACGAGAGTAGGTCCCTCACATGGACATGAATGATTACTGTGGTGGAGGAGTCTACATCTCTTAACCTCAATCAGGTTCTTCTCTTTCTGAACTTTCTTTAGAAGAAGTTCTATGTGGTAGTTTTTTGGCAGATGATTTTATCAAATCTGTTTTGATTTTTTTTTTTTTTTGGTTTGCAGCTTTGGAAGAAGTTCAGGGGAGAAGACAAGGCAGATTACAATGTTGACATGATGCCTAAGGTATTGTTGTTGTTTGTGGCATTCATCTTCTTTTATATTATGACTCACACTAACTCTTTGTTCTTTCTATGTGGTGGATATTAGTTATGACTCACACTTTCATAATATCCTGAAAAATTTATATTATGAGTCACACTAACTCTTTGTTCTTTCTATGTTCTTTGTTTCTGAAACAGAACTACACCTTCGTGGGTTGGTTTCATTGACAACGAGAGGCTCATTGGTGAGGCTGCTAAGAACCAGGCGGCTGTTAATCCTGAGAGGACTGTTTTTGATGTCAAGAGATTGATCGGGAGAAAGTAAATTCACTCCCTTTTTGGACTGTTGCTTTAATTCATTGGAAGTTTCTTGTTTTGTGTATGGACTGTTACTTAAATTCTTGCTTTCTTTTTGTTATGGCAAGTTTGAGGACAAAGAGGTCCAGAAGGACAGGAAACTTGTGCCTTACCAGATTGTGAACAAGGATGGCAAACCATACATTCAAGTCAAGATCAAGGATGGTGAGACCAAGGTTTTCTCTCCTGAGGAGGTCAGTGCCATGATCTTGACTAAGATGAAGGAGACTGCTGAAGCTTACCTTGGAAAGAAAATCAAGGACGCAGTTGTCACTGTTCCAGGTTAGCTTATTCTCTATTCGAAGAATTGTTTGATTCCAGTCACTTTTAGCTTCCATGTTTTGTCTATTATATATTACCATCAAGCATGTGGCACTTTGGTTAAGACTTTTCTGGGTTGCTGGAGTTAAGATTTTGCTGAGACAATTCATGTTATTTTGTTAGCTTGCTATGTGATAATCTTGCTTAAGAAAACGTTCCATGTTTTATGTTATTGAGGTGATCTAGAGCTTTGTCTATATATGCACACAGTTTATTGATTCGGTGTCTGGCGTTGATTATGTGCAGCTTACTTCAACGATGCCCAGAGGCAGGCTACAAAGGACGCTGGTGTTATTGGTGGTCTCAACGTTGCCCGAATCATCAACGAACCCACTGCTGCTACTATTGCCTATGGTCTTGACAAGAAGGGTGGTGAGAAGAACATCCTTGTCTTTGACCTTGGTGGTGGTACCTTTGATGTCAGTGTCTTGACCATTGACAACGGAGTGTTCGAGGTTCTTTCCACAAATGGTGACACTCACTTGGGAGGTAACTTATATTTACATTACAAATTCATGTTCTGTATTATTACTTTGAATATTCATACGATGATGTTGCTAACCCTTTTCTGTCTTGCGCAGGTGAGGACTTTGACCACAGGATCATGGATTACTTTATCAAGTTGATCAAAAAGAAGCATCAAAAGGACATCAGCAAGGACAACAAGGCTCTTGGAAAGATCCGCAGGGAATGTGAGAGAGCCAAGAGAGCACTTGGTAGCCAGCACCAAGTCCGTGTAGAGATTGAGTCCCTCTTTGATGGTCTTGATTTCTCGGAGCCTCTCACAAGAGCTCGTTTTGAGGAGCTTAACAATGACTTATTCAGGAAGACTATGGGACCAGTGAAGAAAGCCATGGATGATGCTGGTCTACAGAAGAGCCAGATCGATGAGATTGTTCTTGTTGGTGGAAGCACTAGGATCCCCAAGGTTCAGCAGCTGTTGAAGGACTTCTTCGAAGGGAAATAGCCAAACAAGGTTGTGAACCCCGACAAAACTGTTGCTTATGGTGCTACTGTCCAGGGTGGTATTCTGAGCGGAGAAGGCGGTGATGAGACTAAAGATATCCTTCTTCTCGACGTTGCGCCACTCACTTTGGGTATTGAGACAGTAGGAAGAGTGATGACAAAGCTGATCCCGAGAAACACAGTAACACAGTTATTCCAACCAAAAAGTCTCAGGTTTTCACGACATACCAAGACCAACAGACAACCGTCTCCATCCAGGTCTTTGAAGGTGAGCGAAGTCTCACACTAACTCACACGAAGGTGTAATTCTTTTATATTATGACTCACACTAACTCTTTGAGAAACGTAGAGCTGGCAAGTTTTCAGGATATATTAATTGCGATAAAATATAAAACACATAGAATGGGAACATTGTTACATTTAGACATCTGAAAATTTTCAATAGTAGCATTTTCTCATGCATCAAATAAATTTTCCGTATTGTTACATGCTTTATTGTTACATATATAAATCTGAAAATTTTCAAGAATCTAACATAAATTTGTTAACACCAAATCTTCTGGAAAGCTTTCCTGAAACTACATAAATGTTTCCTGAAAATTTAGAAAAACTACACAGTTTCATAAGCATAAGTAAGAGACTAACAACTTCATAAGGAAATTCACGAGCCTACCAAAGATATCAACATGCGTAAGCAAAATAAGAAGACACAAAGCAAAAAAAAAAGATTCAAATTTGTTATTATCAAATATTCTGGAAAGCTTTCCTGAAACTACATAAATCATTCCTGAAATTTTAAAAATACTACAAAGTTTCACAAGCACAAGCAAGAGATTAACAATGTTATAAGCAAATTCACGAGCCTACCAAAGATATCAACATGCGTAAGCCAAACAAGTAAAATAAATAACTTCATTTGTATAATTGAGGATGAAGAAATGAGCTAAGTAATTTTATTTTTAAAAATTAGACAACTTCATTTGATTCTTACCAATATGGTGTACAATTCTTATTTTGGTTAAACCATGACATGTATAATCGAGACTTTCCTTAATAGCACTCAAAATCTTAATTTTGTTTGTTTTTTGTATGATTTTCTTCTTTCTTATACAATTCAGGATAAGATTCCTGATCATGTACTAAACCTTCCAAATAAATTGAATCGTGCAGATGTTTCCGGTGTTTATAATATAAAATTAACGGTTAATATATTTATGTTTTAGCTTCATTAGATGTTTTTAAACAAATTGGTCCCTAAACATTAAACAAAACATTTTTCTTCAAGTAAACGTTTGTTGTTATATTTCTACTAATTAGTCTCTAATTATGTGTTTCTCTCAGTCGAGTTGCACATTAACCATCAATTTCATCAAACAAAGAAGACTGATGAACTAAACTGACAAAGAAAAAGCACAAAGCGACTTGCAGAATTCTAAGTCAATGTTTAGGGTTTAACTGAAGCGACTTGCAGAATTAAGATTTAAAGTTTAGAGTTTAGGGTTTAGAGTTGATGTTTTAGGGTTTATGGCTTAAAGTTCATGTTTTAGGGGTTTGGGTGTAGGGTTGATTTTTTTAGGGTTTAGGTTTAGAGTTTAGGGTTGAAGGTGTAGGTTTTAGGATTTAAGGTAATTTTTAGGGTTTAGGCTTTAAAGTTTAAGGTTTAGGGTTTAGAGTTGATGTTTTAGGGTTTAAAGTTTAGTATATTAATCTTCAGGATAATGTACTCTAAAATTTGGAAAGCATTGAGCGTGTTCAGGATGGGTTTCCGGATTGAAGATAATGTATTATAAAATTTGGAAAGCCATGAGCGTGTTCAAGATGAGCTTCTAGATATTATATTAATCTTCAGGATATACTTTATTTTGTAGACAATGAACTCTATTTGGTGATTTCTATAACCAATGAATTTTCTTATAGATTATTTTGATTATGTTTTTTTTGGAAGATTAAATTCCATTTTAGGATGGCCATCCTGAACAAGGATTGTCTAACATTCATTACACGCTTTTGATTCTCTTCGAAAAGAGACTTATGCAAGAAAACACACCTTTTATTTTTTGAAATCCATCTTAAAAGTGCCAAAAACTATCCTATTTTAATATTATATGTTTGATATGTGCTCTCTATTTGAGACAGTGAACTCTATTTGGTGATTTCTATAGCCAATGAATTTTCTTATAGATTTTGATTATGTTTTTTTTTTTGGGGAAGATTTAAGTTCCAAATTAGGATAGCCATCCTCACAATAATTGTCTAACATTTCTTGCTCTTTTTATTCTGTTCAAAAACAAACTTATGCAAGAGCTTCAGGAAGCCCTTCCTAAAGCGAATATTAAACTTTCAGGAAGCTATCATAACATTTGTCTTTTTAATTAAATATTAAACATTTAGAAAGTCCTTCCTGAATATTTTACTTGTTATCCTAACATTTTATTTAGGAAGATTAAGTTCCAAATTAACATTTTTTTTTGTTTTGAAAGATTAAGTTCTAAATTAGGATAGTCATCCTGAACAAGGATTGTCTAACATCGTATTCTATCCTGCATAACCAAGTAAAAAATATTTAGAAAAATTTCAACACCGAATTTTCTAGAAAGCTTTCGTGAACCTACACAAATCCTTCTTAAATCTATACAAATCCTTCTTGAAAACAAAACACACAATTTCAGAGGCACAAGCAATGTCTAGAAATGTCATAAGCAAATTCATGATCCTACCAGAAACATCAGTATGCGTAAGCCAAAAAGTAACCAATCGAAAGGTTTTTTAAATTTGTTAACATCGGATTTTCTGGAAAGCTTTCCTGAAACCACATAAATCCTTCCAGAAAATTAAAAAACAATATACAGTTTCACAAGCACAAGCAAAAAACTAATAATGTCATAAGAAAATTCACGAGCCTACTAAAGATATCGACGTGCGTAAGCCAAACAATAAGACACCAAGCATAAAAAAATTCAAATTTGTTAACATCGAATTTTCTGGAAAGCTTTCTTGAAACTACATAAATCCTTCCTAAATTTTAAAAATACTACAAAGTTTCACAAGCACAAGCACAAGCAAGAGATTAACAATGTTATAAGCAAATTCACGAGTCTACCAAAGATATCAACATGCGTAAGCCAAACAAGTAAAATAAATAACTTCATTTGTATAATTGAGGATGATGAAATGAGCTAAGTAATTTTATTTTTGAAAATTAGACAACTTCATTTGATTCTTACCAATATGGTGTACAATTCTTATTTTGGTTAAACCACGACATGTATAATCGAGACTTTCCTCAATTGCACTCAAAATCTTAATTTTGTTTGTTTTTGTATAATTTTCTTCTTTCTTATACAATTCAGGACAGGATTCCTGATCATGTACTAAACCATCCAAATAAATTGAATCATGCAGATGTTTCCAGTGTTTATAATATAAAATTAACGGTTAATATATTTATGCTTTAGCTTCTACCAGATGCTTTTAAACAAATTGGTCTCTAAACATTAAACAAAACATTTTTCTTCAAGTAAAGTTTAGGGTTTAGGCTTTAAAGTTTAAGGTTTAGGGTTTAGAGTTGATGTTTTAGGGTTTAAAGTTTAGTATATTAATCTTCAGGATAATGTACTCTAAAATTTGGAAAGCATTGAGCGTGTTCAGGATGGGTTTCCGGATTGAAGATAATGTATTATAAAATTTGGAAAGCCATGAGCGTGTTCAAGATGAGCTTCTAGATAATATATTAATCTTCAGGATATACTTTATTTTGTAGACAATGAACTCTATTTGGTGATTTCTATAACCAATGAATTTTCTTATAGATTATTTTGATTATGTTTTTTTTGGAAGATTAAATTCCATTTTAGGATGGCCATCCTGAACAAGGATTGTCTAACATTCATTACACGCTTTTGATTCTCTTCGAAAACAGACTTATGCAAGAAAACACACCTTTTATTTTTTGAAACTCATCTTAAAAGTGCCAAAAGCTATCCTATTTTAATATTATATGTTTGATATGTGCTCTCTATTTGAGACAGTGAACTCTATTTGGTGATTTCTATAGCCAATGAATTTTCTTATAGATTTTGATTATGTTTTTTTTTTTTTTGGGAAGATTTAAGTTCCAAATTAGGATAGCCATCCTCACAATAATTGTCTAACATTTCTTGCTCTTTTTATTCTGTTCAAAAACAAACTTATGCAAGAGCTTCAGGAAGCCCTTCCTAAAGCGAATATTAAACTTTCAGGAAGCTATCATAACATTTGTCTTTTTAATTAAATATTAAACATTTAGAAAGTCCTTCCTGAATATTTTACTTGTTATCCTAACATTTTATTTAGGAAGATTAAGTTCCAAATTAACATTTTTTTGTTTTGAAAGATTAAGTTCTAAATTAGGATAGTCATCCTGAACAAGGATTGTCTAACATCGTATTACTATCCTGCATAACCAAGTAAAACATATTTTAAAAATTTTAACACCGAATTTTCTAGAAAGCTTTCGTGAATACACAAATCCTTCTTAAAACTATACAAATCCTTCTTGAAAACAAAACACACAATTTCAGAGGCACAAGCAATGTCTAGAAATGTCATAAGCAAATTCATGATCCTACCAGAAACATCAGTATGCGTAAGCCAAACAAGTAACCAATCAAAAGGTTTTTTAAATTTGTAACATCGGATTTTCTGGAAAGCTTTCCTGAAACCACATAAATCCTTCCAGAAAATTAAAAAACAATATACAGTTTCACAAGCACAAGCAAACTAACAATGTCATAAGAAAATTCACGAGCCTACCAAAGATATCAACATGCGTAAGCCAAACAATAAGACACCAAGCATAAAAAAATTCAAATTTGTTAACATCGAATTTTCTGGAAAACTTTCAAGAAACTAAATAAATCCTTCCAAAAGTAGCTAAATATATAAAGAGAAAGGAAAAAAAAATGTTAATGCTTTTCACTTGATAGAAACATATGTTAATGGTTACGCTCATCTCCATGGTTAAGATTTAACTACTTGCGCATTTCCTCAAGTTTTCTGAAAATTCATCGTAAATATATATATGCTATGATGAATACTTTTCTGAAAATTCATCGTAAATATATATATGCTATGATGAATAGTTGATATGTACTTTGGTAAATGTATACACCTAATAATTCCACACTAAATCAGAAACTCGAGAAATATAATTCACAAAAAAAAAATCCAAACTTCAGCGACTAAACATGGAAATCTGATCCAAATTCTGCAATAGTCTATGCAATCAGAAATCAGTTTCTAGGGAAGAACTCTTTCTTTAACATCTCTCAATGCTTCTACACCTTGAAGAAGTCTTTAGGAGCACAGTCACTTGGGACTGCGTCATCAAACTCATAAGTAGATTCAAATATTCTTCTCTTAGTTGGGTCCATGAGAAGCTCATATGCTTCTTGGATCAACTTGAGTCTTTCTTTCAAGTGAGATTCAATGGCTTCTTTCTTAGCTTGCTTCGCTTCATCACTCTCGTCAGAAAGAAGAAGAGCAGCAGAAGGTTTATCAGGAGGAAGCTTCAGAGCAGCCTCACGATAGCTTTTCCTAATCTGATCCTCTGTTGCAAGATACCTTAAACTGCCCAAACCCAACAAGGCATAGTGATCAAGCTGTTCTTGTTCCTTACCTGACTTCTTCTTCTTTCCCTTATTGGTGCTGGTGTTCTTGTACGTTTCATAAGAAGGAATATCTTCCACTTCATTGTTGTTAGCGTCTTTCTTAGGAGATGCAGAGGAATCTTCTTTTTTGTCCTCTGCACAACAAAGAAGTTTGAGAGCAGCAGAATGGAAAGAATGACCAGCAGGTTCACGGTTCAAAGCCTTCACAGGAAGACCATTGGAAGAAACATACAACGGTTTCCCCTCAGAAAGCTCATCTGAATAAGTAAGTAGCTTAATAGCAGAGTTAATCCCCAAACTCTGCATGATGATACACTGGGTAGTAGCTTCAAATCAACTTATATTCCTGTCACAAAGATTCAGAAACTTCTTAAGCCAACAAGCAATGTACAGAAATAGACAAATCAACTTATACATCTATTAAAGATATAAACTTTCTACTTTACATTTCATTTAACAATTAGATTAAAGAGTCTGGGTCTCACCGAAAAGAATTCATGTTACGGACGGGAGAGAACAGGCTTCTCGTTGTAAGCCTGCATCAGCTTTTTCTCTGGACCACTCAAGTGTAAATCATCTACGTTTGCAACACGTCCCAATATCTTTAGCCGTTCTCTGAAAGATGCGGTTGTATCCATAGGGAAGCCTTTAACTTTCTCAACCTCATCATCTATTAATCTCTGCGCCAAAGAATATGGATTCAGTACAAACATCACCATAAAGATGAAACTAACTAGCCGAGTCAAGCTTTTTAACTTACCTGAATGCTTCTTGAAAATGAAGGGGGAGTTCTTTGCATAATTATCAGAAAGTTTGAAGTATAAAACTAATATTCATTCCTTCTCCATCAGTTTCACCTTGAAAGATTTTAGTTGGATACAGTGGAATCTGTTCCAACATCAAGACAAAACAATCACGTGAGATTCCAAAATAAGGTAATTAAACAAACAGACTATCAAGCAGAACTAGTTCAAACCTGGACATTAACGAGAAGGATAGATGGGAGTTTTGAGGACGTGGTAGTAACGGGAAGCTTCACATATTGTGCGACATGGTGTATTTTACGTTCTGATAAGAAAACATCGACACCAAAAGGATTATACGCAGCATGGCTAGGCGCAAACTCTTTCTTCTTTTCTCTATAACCAAAAAAATAAAACAAAGCTTCTTGTTAATATGGTTACATTATTAATCATTTGAGTAAAATCAGTAATGGTTTACTTTAAATAAGTTTTGCCACGAACACGGAAGCTATTTAGCTCAATAGTTGACCAACAATCAAGCATTTTCTTGTCAACAAGACAGAAAGGAACCTGAGAACCAGCTATTGGTCTCTTCAATTCATTTTAGAAAGAACTGAAACAAGTTTCCAGACAACACGTAAGTTCTTGAATCTCATCAACTTGCTGAATCCAACGCAATCAACTTATGTTCTTACACAAGGCCCCTGAAGCATGACCTTCTCTCCATTTGTAAGATAGTCTAAGAGAAGCTTTTTTCCTCGAACTTGGAGGATTAGAGCTAAGAGGCCTTCTTTTATCAACACAAGGAACAACGGATATTGGATTCAAACAAGGCAAACAGTTACTCGGCAAAATCCTGCAATTCTTCATGAGTCCTCCTCCTCCTTCATCTGCAGATGAATCTATCGAATCAGGCTGCTGTTTTGTGTCGTTCAAGCCTCCTTCTAACTGCGAATTGGCTTCGTTTGAGTCAGAGTCTCCTGTTGATGATGTGGTTGTAGTACTTGAAACTGATACACGCTCACCTCCGTTTAAAGACAAAGCATCTAAAAAAAGACATGAAATGAGGTTTGACTAAAAAAAAAAAGGATAAAGCATATAGCTCCTAGGCATGAGGATATGTAAATTTGTACCTTCGTTGACGCTGTGGAAATCATCGTCACAATCTGTTTCAAATGCAGCATTGGACTCAAACCATGCTTCTTCTCCACTTGCTGTTGACAAACTGGAAATGACAAATGCAGCATTGTTCTGACCGTCGACGAATTAGAGATCGTGATTTCACTTCAGATCTACCAGACGAGTGCTTCGCTCACGTGTTTCAGTACCTCGGAGCTGGAGATCGGAAACGATGCTCTCTCGTTTGCAAACGGTGGCTATTCGTCGACGGTCAGAACCGTCAGTGAACTAAGTCTTCTTCGCCGGAGACATGGAGGCGACGATTCAACGATTTGTCGATGTCTTTTATTTATTTTTTAACTTATCCCCTATATATTAAAGGAGAAACATTGCAACATTTTTGGTAGTCATGTGTCATCACCATAATGAGTCTTAGAAATCCAAAGAAAAAAAAGTTGGTCCATCTATGTTTATAATAAGCTTTTTATTAAACTAGCCATAAATTTATCATTAATGTTCTTTATTCTTTCCTTAAATAAAATTACGGAATTTCCTAATGTGACTAAAATATATATGATAATTAATGATTTTGAATAATAAAAATTAGTGTATCATCTACAATATTTTTTTAATTTTAAATTAGCGAAATAAATTAAACAATAGCATTAACTATATAACAAAAAATTGATTTTTTGATATATGTTATATTTTGCATTTTTTAAAACGGTTATAAATTAATAAAATATTTTAAATTTCACATATAATATTTTTGATTAGTAGTTTAAATTCCCTATATATTAATCCAGTTAATCTTGTAGCATTACAACATTTTTGGTAGCCACGTGTCACAATGAGAATGATTTTTATAACTCTTTGAGAAATATGTTGGTCCAACTAAACATATGTTATATTTTTATTATATTAACTATCATATTTAATTTGTAGTGTACAAAAGAATATTTCATATTCTTTCCTTATATAAAAGATACGAAATTACCTAATATGATTAACATATATATCACAATCAATGTTTATGAATAATAAAGATATGATGACAATTTTTTATCCTCTTTATTTTTATATTTAATTTTCTATTATTAAAAGAAATTAAAAAATCACATTAATCATATTATAATAAAATTAGATTTTTTTCTTATGCCGACAAAAAAAAATATTTTTTTCTTATATGTTATTTTTTGAATTTTTTAAAACAATAATAAATTAATAAAAATATTAAAATCTCACATTGAAAATTTTGTGATCGGTGATAACGTTTTTCAATTCAGCCAATCGTTTTTCTAATGAGTCTTAAACAATTTATAATGATTAACTAAATAGATCGTGCATAATAAAGTGTGTTTTGTTTAAAAATTATTGTATATCCAAAATCAATATGAATCATCATCCCTCTCGTTTAAATTTTTGTTACAATAAAAAAATATGTTGGGCAAAAAAACTAGATCCAGATAACTGAATTTAATCTAATCCAAAAAGTAGTACAAGTTTTTAACTAAAATTGGTTAGATATCCAAACGGATTCGAAATTTTGGTATCTAGAGAACCAAAACTTAATCGAAATATCTCGGGTATTCGAGTGTACTCAAACCAGATTTATATACTTAAATATATTAATTATTTTTAAATTTAACATCTACGAATATACAAAATACATGAGAGTTTTTAAAATTTTCCCAAATACTTAGAAATATATAAAATAGTTAAATGTACATTTTTAAAATAGCTAAACGATGCTCCAAATACGAAAAATATTTATTGATTTTTTTGTCCAAATATTTAAGATATATATCTTAAATACTTAGAAATATATAAAATAATTAAATGTACATTTTTACAATAGATAAACAATACTCCAAATACGAAAAATATTTATTGATTTTTTTTCCATATACTTAGAAATGTATAAAATAGTTAAATGTACATTTTTAAAATAGTTAAGCGATACTCTAAATACTCCAATTTTATGTTAAATATTTTGGCATTAATTTTTCAAATTTATATGTTATATATTATTTTTACTTTTAGATTTTGAAAAATTTAATGTATATATAAGTTTTAATCTTTTAAAAAAAAATTAAATGGATTATCCGAACCTGCAAAGATTCGAGCCAAACCGCAAAGATCTAAACCAAACAGAATCTAACCAAACCAAATTGAATAAATATCCGCGGGTCAACCTCTATAACTGTTATAGTACTGTATTAGTTTTGTTCAATGAGATCTCCAAGACTCCAACCCACAGTTTCCCTGAAACTGTAACACTTTACACTTACTTATACTTTCCCATCAAAGCCTAACGCAAAACATTATATATGTACCCACATATCATCATCAAACCACTAGTTTCTTTTATTAATTATAACAAAAGGGTTGTAGAGACATTTTATCATTTAATGAATGTCATTTCTATGACTTTCTCTTTCTGGTGTAAAAACTTCAAAAATACTATTTTGGTCAATTGCCCAAAATAATTTGACATCGAAAAAGAACCCATAAAACATATAACATGTCGAAAAAACAAAACATTAAAACATTTGATTAATAGTTTTAACCCTATACCATAAAATAAATGTCCTGGTAAATGTTAGAGGAATGTAAAAGTATAATATATACAAAGTTATGTAATGGTGACATGTGAAAGTTACATGTTACAATAAGTTATAGATATAACGATTCAAATTTTTTTTGAGTTTGTAAATTTTTATGTTTTATGATTGTAATACACATGAACATGATACTGTCGGTTTCCAGCTATCAAATGTCAAAGTAACATGTAAAAGAAGTTTTAAACCAGAGACAAATATACGTGTGATGTGCTTTGCTACAAAAATTATATGAACTATTATTTTAATGTTAGTGATATAAAATATATGTTATTTTTATGTTAGTATAAATTCATATTTTATATCACCAAAATTATATGAACTATTATCTTAGTGCTAACCACTTTCCAGGAAGTCCATTAAACAATCCTACGTATATATTTAAAATCATACATATTTGGTTGATGAATGATCTATTATCTTAGTGTTAGTATATTATTGTATAGAATAACATTGTCATTGATCAAATATGTATAATAGCAATCCTTTGTAAATATCCTAGTAATGAGAGACATTTCTAATAAAACATGTGAGAAGCGATGTGGTGTTGCCACATAAGTAATGATAGTTTCGTTAATCACACATCAATGCAACATTATTTTCTAAAAATGTTTCTGGATTAATATTAAAGGGATTAATTACTACTAACAAAATCTGTTTTATATTTAAATATTTTTCTCTTGAATACCATATGTACTCATTGCTCACTATTTAAAAATCTATTAATTTAAATATGTTAGAAGTCCAAATACATATACACAAAATATTATTTCAACTCTATATTAAAAATTAAATTATATATATACATATTGAAATTATATAAATAAATATTTCTATAAATTATATCATCTTGGGCATGGGTCAGATCACTACCTAATCCCCTTATTATTAAAAGGGAAGCAAATAAAAAAAGAAACCTTAAAAAAATATCCCCCTATACATTAAAAGAAAAGTCACTTTTACACGTGGCACTCACACAGCCCTTCTCAGAAGAATTCTAGCGATTCTATTGGTTGATTTTTTAGAATTTATTTTTTGATTTATTTTTACCATCGACACTACTAAAAAGGAAATCCATTTAAATACTTACATTTTGTGTTTTCTCGATTCAAAGAACATCCTTTTGCGATCCTTTCTCTGTTTAATTCATTAAATGCATTAAATCGTTTAGCTTGGTCATGAAGAATCTCTATATAATAACTATTCAAAAATATTATTTCTTTAAATCGTAGATATTATAAAGATTTATGTAGCAAACGAATTGTAAATATTGCTAAGATATGTAAAGTTTCGTTAGCAATATAGTTTTAAATATTTTTGCTTGATCAATACTCTAGGGATTTCCTAAACTGAATCCGAATAAAATCCATTTAAATACTTAACTTTTGTATTTTCTCGATTCAAAGAACATCCTTTTGCGATCCTTTCTCTATTTAATTCATTAAATGCATTAAATCGTTTAGCTTGGCCATGAAGAATCTCTATATAATAACTACTCAAAAATATTGTTTCTTTAAATCGTAGATATTATAAAGATTTCTGTACCAAACGAATTGTAAATATTGCTAAGATATGTTTATTTTCTATTTTTTAATTCAGCGTGAAGAGTAATTTGATAACAAAACTATCGACGTTTTCAAACACTCCAAATTTATTAATTCCTATTAATGACTTACCTTATTTTAATAATACATACGTTGCACAAGTTGTAACTTTCTTTAGTCTATTTCAATTAATTTTTAAATCTATCAAATATAATAATTCATATTAAATGTCTTACCTTATTTAAAAACTACATTATTTGCACAATAATGAAATTAAGCCAAGAATATTAACTGGTTGATCACTAATAATTTACTAACCTTACTAATTATTAATACATGTATTAATAATTTTCCTTATTAGATATTACTTGCGCAAGAATATTAATTAATAAAACATGTATTAATAAATTTCCTTATTACAAATACGGAAAACAATTCACTCTTGATATCATATTGATTACATTGTTTAGTGCAATTTATCGATTTGTATCTAATTAGGTTGTTTGTTATTATTAATTTACCTTATTAATATTGAATATACAATTTCTAATATATAGTTTCTATATACAGTTTCTCATATGATTAATCGTATAGAATATATAATATTGTCAATAATTTATTAGAGAATATTATATTTATTAGCTTATCATGCAAGCTAAATCATTGAGAAACGTCCACCAATTTGCTATATATAAGACATTCACAGTAGGAGAAAGGAAGCCACTGAACTTTTTATTCTGAACTTTTTATGTTGATACTGTTTTTGTTATTTTACATCATTAAGCTTTTATATATACATATTTCACCAGAGCTGACTTTTCTTTTGGTTTATATGCAGATGTCCTATTATAACGATTTCACCACGATGCAGATAAATTTTTTATCTTTCTGTATGATTTGATTAATCGTAGATCTATTTGAATTATAATTCTTACTTTTTT